TATTATTATAATAACCGTTCTGCTCAGGAATGTTTCTTGTGCTCCCGATTGTAGAGTGGCCCAAATCAGAAGGGGGCAGGGGCTAAGCCTGGTTAAAATCTGTTTAAAGCTCTGTGTGCATCTTGTTGGCAGTGAAGGGATTCGGGCGTCTTCCTTTCATTACCCTGCACACTTATATTGCCTGCTACACGGCTATGGCCCACAAAAAAACAGTTCTTTATCATGCTCAGTATTGCACAAAGTTTTTTTTATGATTCCACAACACAGCGTCTGACTGCATCCCTCTTTTATTGTGATATTGTATATTGGTGTTTTCCCTGTAAATTAAGTTGGAAAATACCAGGAAATGTTACCCATTATATAGATAGAAAAAATCATGCTGCTGTGATGGCCAGCGTGAGGTGCTCGTTATCTAATGCAACAGAATCAGAATGAGAGATAAAAAGCCCATCTGGATTCCCTCAATTATGCTGTCAATCAGTTCAGCTGCTGTTGGAAGTGGACAACGGGGACTCTAGTAGAATATATTACAGGAAGTCACATTGTGTCCTTTGAGACTATTGTTAATCCATCTCAATGTTGTCCACTCTCTCCAAGAGACTCTTTGAGCAGTTTTTTTCCCTTCCATTGGCTGCTTCTTGATCCTTTTAAAATAGGAGATGTGGATTCAGTCTGGACCCTTCTGTATGCAAAGCCTGTGCAGAGCTGTAGTCCCTCCCTGAAGCTCCTCATGATTGTGTTTGAGAACAAGAAAATGCCCTTCAGCCCAGCCTAATTCTGTCCTGCTTTGCTGTGAAATAAAGGCTTGCCAGAGGCCTTTTTTGCTTCTTAACTTTCTTTGCCTTTTAAATGAAGCAAGAAGAGGCAGCTGGCAAAAGCGTTTTTCCTTTCTTGTTACTGTGCTCTTTTTACTAAGTTATCCTGTCCTGGATTTCATTGACCTTGTTTTTAAAATCTTTATGCAATCTTGTCCCTTTTATTCAGTCTGGGTTTTCCTTATGTCGCTGCTTGTGCCCCACTTGTCTTCCAAAGTGGCCAGCCTCAGCTGACCCAAGGCCTCCTGTTCCCTTCAAGGGACTGGAAACTACAGTGCTGCCTCGCTTAACGATTACCTTGTTAAACGACGAATCCACTTGACGATGAGGTTTTTGCGATCGCAAAAGTGATTGCAAAACGATGTTTCAGTGGGCAAAAATCACTACTTCGGGAACAGATTCTTCGCATTACGATGATCTGAAAACAGCTGATCGGCGGCTCTCAAAATGGCCGCCTGCTGTGTAAAATGGCTCTCTGCTGTTTTCAGGACTTAATTTTCGCATTACAGTGGACCCTCGACTTATAGACGGCTCGACTTACAGACTTTTCGAGTTACAGACTTCTCTGGCTGCAAAATTTAGATTCGACTTGCAGCCGGAGAATCGACTTACAGACCAGAAAAAAACCAAAATGGAACAAAAATAGAATAAAAACTGCCAGTTATGGGATTAATCAGTTTTCAATGCATTGTAGGTCAATGGAGATTCGACCTACAGACTTTTTGACTTGCAGCCACCGTTCCAATACGGATTAATTCCATAAGTAGAGGGTCCACTGTATAGGCACCGGAAAATGGCCGCCCTATGGCGGACCTTCTCTGGACGATTAGGTATTTAGCCCATTGGAACGCATTAACCAGTTTTTAATGGCTTTCAACAATTTTTTTCCTTGCTTGACGACAATTTCGCTCTACAGCGATTTTGCTGGAACGGATTAACATCGTCAAGCGAGGCACCACTGTATAAGGAAAGACTGAAGGACTGGGCATGCTTAGCCTTGGGAAAAGAAGACTGAGGGGAAGCATGAGAGCACTTTTAAAATACTTGAAAATGAGTCATTCAGAAGAGGGGCAGGATCTGTTCTCTTTCATCCCAGATGCAGGACATATTAATGGGCTCAAGCTACAGGAAGTCAGATTTAGGCTGAATATCAGGTAAATATCCTAACTGTTAGAGCAGTACGGCAATGGAACCAATTACCTCAGGAGGCAGTGAGCACTCCAGTCCTGGAGGCATTCAAGAGATAATTGGGCAACCATCTGTTAGATCTGCTTGGATTTTGATTCCTGCCTTGAGCAGGGGTTGAACTAGATGACCTTTTAGGCCTCTTCCAACTCCGTTATTCTATGATTCAGTGATGACCTCCGTCCATCTTCCCTTGAAACACTGTGTACTTGAAACCCCTTACCTTTGCCCATCCTTGCTTTGCAGTCTCATTCGTGGTCTACGGAACTATCCTCTCCAGAAGCCTCCTCACTCCATCTTTGTTTTACCCATTAGGCTAAGGGGAGGGAGCAGATCCTTTTCCTCTTGCTTCTAACAAGTATTGTGCTGTAACTTGTGTAGGTTGCACAGAATTTAGCTGCAGTTACGTTTTAGTGTGGTGTACAAAAAAGTCCCACCTTGTCCTGCAGTCTGTGAGCTCCTGCCTCATAATGCAGGTAGACAAGGGGGGCGCTGGGCTGCCTGAGTTACCTGGTGGGGCAACTCATGGATGGAGCCAGGGGGGCATCCCCATCTTCCAATCACAAGGTCCCTGTGCTACCAGGTGGCTGCCTTTCCCCTGCATGCTGCAGTATTTGCAGAGAGGCACAGAAGATGCTGGTTGAAATGTACCAACATTTGTCTTTCCAAGAGGCAATTCCTCCACTTATTCTCTCCTTTATTCTTCCAAAGTGTTCCCAAGGTCAGTCTCAAATTAGTTCAAAGTGCCATCTCCCTGGTTTCTTCACATTTCTCCTCCAAAGTCCCATCCCTTTCCCTATCTGGACTTTTTTTTCCATTTTCAAAATTCTCATTCACTAGAGAGCAGCCATGCTGAAGAAAGGGCAGAATTTGGAAAAGTTAAATTTTTGGAGCTATAACTCCTAGAGTTTTCCATCCAGTGCTTAGGGGTTTCAAAATGTGCAAGCTTTCAAAATGTGCAGCGGCATTTTCTTGTATTTATGCCCCCAGCAGTGTTCTGATTGCTTTTCTTGTTTTCCTTACTATGTGTTTGTGATTGCAAACTCCTCAAAAGAAATGACATAACATATTTTGCCTTTAAAACTCTGTAATGTTCCATGTGCACTGATGCCACAGTACATGTGCACTCATGTTTCTTTTCTCCTTATCACTTTAATAGAGCTGGTCTTGTTAGTCTTTTGATGTAGCCAGTCCTTTTGGTTAATAGTACTATAATGTTGCTTAGTAGAAATGGTTATAATGTAAGTAGGAAAATCTACTTAATAGAGAAACGGAAGCAAACTTTTAGAATAATTTCTTGCATTTTTCCCCCTCTGCCTTGCAGGAGCGTGGATCAGCTTTATGTTGGGGAACATTTCCCTCCCACTGCCTCTCTCTCCTTTTTGCTGCTTAGTTTGTTTCTTGGGACCTGTGCAATGCTAGTAAAGGAAACAGGGATCACCGTGTTTGGTGTCTGCTTGGTGTATGATGGCTTCCTGCTTTCGCAAAACAGACCTAGATTGTAAGTGAAGAGGAACTTTTTAATATACCATTGTTTCTGCTGTATTTTTCCTGGATATCAACCTACAAAATGTGCATGCCTGCAAATTTGCTTAATAGGCTACCTGCCTGCATATACTTCTGTCAATCATTTCTCCCTTGAAAGCGGTGGCAACAGCAGAAGGGAGAGGAACAAAACAACTAATTTGTGAAGTTATATAAGAAGCTGCCTTATAGTGATTCATGTCTAGTCCAGTATTGGCAGCTCCAGCTTGCTCTTGACTTTCCAGTGGATTCCCCCCCCCCCAATTCTTACCTTGAGATTCTTGGTATTTCCCGGTGGGATCTCCTCCCTCTATTCATCAAGCCCAGCCAGTTTAGCTTTGAAATCAGACAAGATCTCTCCATGTTTCTAATGGAATGGGATGGAGTCCATGAAAGATGATGCTAAATAAAAGCCATTAGTCTTTCAGATGGTGCCACAAGACTCCTTGTTTTTATTTAATTTATAACGTTCCTTAGTTGCTGAGAGATTATTCTTGTGAGTTGATATGTAAACCTGGCCTCAGTTTTGCCTCCAAAGTTTGTGATAAACTTTGTCATTTGTTGTGTGTCTAAAATGAGGTGGGTAAACAGTAGACTGGAATGATTTAGTGCTAAATCCAGCAAGGATTTCTAACTCCCACTTGTCTGATATCGGCAGTAAAACGACTCCCAACTGTAAGCAATCATACTGAATTCGAGAAATCTTGAGAAACCAGGAATGAATTTTTATGTGAAAGAAACAGTAACTTCTATGCAGTTCTAGTATCCAAAACAAATTCTTGGAGATCAGAATGCAGATAATGTGACAAATTACTATTATTGTCTTCATTGTCAACTACTTTCTGTAAAGTGATCTCTCTACTATTGTTTCTGATGCCACTTGTTCGGAGGGCATCATTATTATTAGTTATTATGATAATAAAAGGATTAATGTGAGAGGAACCACCCTTGGGGAACTTTACGTTAGTGTTTAACGTGCTTATGTTTTGATTTTATAACTATTATGTTTATTGCTTTGAAATGTTCAGGTTTAACATGTAAACCGCCCAGAGTGGCCTTGACAGCCAGATGGGTGGTATAGAAATGAAATGAATCAGTCAGTCAATCAATCAATCAATCAATCAATCAGTCAATCAGTCAGTCAATCAATCTACATATGAGCAGAATAGACCCCTGAAAACCTCAGTACCTAGTTATTAACACTAGTATGCATCTTGGAATGTTTAGTGAAAAACCTTTCTTTCTAGATGCTTTTTTAGATAGATTTTCATCACTGACAGATGTTAAGTATCATGTTTTATTGCTTCAGTAACGTAGAACTGCTACATCTGGACAGTAGAGCTCTCAGAAATGAGGCTGTGTGGCCCAGATGTGGCATATCTTTATTTCCTTGCTAAATTGTTATTGAGCACCTGTGTTGGCAATTTATGGGGCCAGGTTTTTTATGTGCACTCAACTGCTTCTTTGTGGTGGGTGTGCAGTGTTACTGAGACAGATTTCTGAAGACAAATAAAATCACTTAATTCCTGTTCAGGTGCTCTTCTTAAACTGTGAACACAAGGGAAAAGCCAACTCTGCCACACTCTGTCTTAGTTCTTGAGTGTGGAAAGGAAAGGTAAATGTGAAGAGAAAAGCCATTTTTCTACACAGATTACCTCAAGAATGATCAGAAACCGATTTTCCAGCTTTTCCGATCCTGTGTAGAGCACGCGTGGGTAGGGACTGCTCTTCTCTTTTCATTTAGCTCTCCATATGGGAGAGTAAGCATGAATGGGGTGAGGCTAGCCTGCTTCCTCCTCCCATAGGTTATATTTAACTCTCTTAGTGAGTGCCTGAGTACAACTTTAGTTACACCGAGAGCAAAACAATGAGCCAACACTGATTGTTGCAACTGATGTTATACTGTTCAGAGAAGAATTAAGCCATAATATCTAGAGTCAAATGAAAAATAAAGTGAAAGAGGCAGTACCACCTAACTAGAGTTTGGTAATATCTAGAGTCAAATGAAAAATAAAGAGGCAGTACCACCTAACTAGAGTTTGAGAAGAGAAGACTCCCTGGAAAAGACCCTGATGTTGGGAAAGTGTGAAGGCAAGAGGAGAAGTGGACAACACTGACAAGATGGTTGGACAGTGTCATCGAAGCTACCAACATGAATTTGACCCAACTCCAGGAGGCAGTGGAAGACAGGAGGGCCTGGCGTGCTCTGGTCCATGGGATCATAAAGAGTCGGACACGACTAAACGACTGAACAACAAATCTCCCAGAATCCCCCAGCCAGCATGGCTGAGGGTTGTGTTGGCAGAGGGATTCTGGGGGTTGTAGTTCAAAAAATTTCATAGTGTAAACCAAACCTAACAATAGCAATACTTTGCAGTAGCTCAGCCTGGTACATGTGTACATGGAGCCTTCTTCAGATTAATATTCAGCTGCAGGCAGTAGAAGCACAGATACAGGTAACAGGGTCTTAGGCAACATAGAAAGTTCTTTGCGTTTTTGGCCAGCTTTATTCCACATTTCTGTGCACCCAAGCTTTCAGGGAGATGAAGCAGTATAAGTTGCTCTCTTCCTCTCAACTGTTCTGTGAGATAGTGAGCCTTCTTTCTGTTCAGCTAAAAGAGAAACAGAAATACTGTAGTCCCGTCTTCTGATACAAGGTTTTGATTTCTTTCTTAATTAGGAAAAACGGAGGGGTGCCTCAGAAGTTAACACGACAGCCAGCTTCTTCCCTCCCTGCTTCATTGCAGTTTCCTTCAGCCAGCCGGGAGAATGGGAAGCACCGGGTGGCTCACAAGGGGACGTGGAACTCCTGCCATCCTGCATCACCTGAAGAACAGCAACAAAGCAGCCTCTCGGTCCTGAGCAAAGCACTGTGGGCCGCACTCAGGTACCATATTAAAGCAATTGCTGGGAACTTGAAATGCACACAAGTGCTTTTTGTTATGATGGCAATTTAGAAATGTGAGCCGCTATCTCCTGCCAGGTGGTTTTCAGACCTTGTGGTGGGTGGGCACCCTGTTTGACCGCCTCAGGGCTGCAGGTAATGGGGAAGCCCCTTTATTTGTTTGTTTGTTTGTTTATTTGTTTATTCGTTAATTTGTTTATTCATTTATTCGATTTATACCCGGCCTATCTGGACCGATGGACCACTCTAGGCGGCTTCCAATATAAAATTAAACAATAAAACACAACAGATACATGGATAATACAAAACAACTACAATAAACTAAAAAATAGGAAAAATAATAATAATAATTAAAAAAGCACCTGCTTATAGAGGTAGATTAGCCTTCCTCAGCCCAGTGCCCTCCAGACATGATGGACTATATTTTCCATCATCCCATATTCTGTGTATAAATGAAATAATATTCATTAGGACTGGCGTATCCGCAGGATCAGTATCCACAATTTCACTTATCCGCTGCTTGAAAATATTAAATAAAAACCCAGAAATACACGTTTCGAAGGTGTATTACCAGAACAGCCCACTAGAGAGAGAGCCAGAGATTATGTAATATATAGGGTATCTATATCTGCAGTTTCCGGCATCTGCAAGGTGGGGGGCTTGGAACTGATCCCCCACAGATACTGCAGCCCTACTGTAGCTATGCTGTACAGTAATGCAAGGCCAGCAATCACTGCATCAGCATCATCAGGAAGGGAAAAAAGATGTAATCTATAATCTTATGAAAGTACCATAATAAAACAGAACAAAATGAGAAGACCATGAACAAAATGAGCATAGCCTAACCACAGTGTCACTTTTCTGGAAAGTATTAGCCAGCACACCAGTCAGTGTGAGACATCTTTTTAAATGTCAGTATTCCAAGATTTGATCCTACCCTGTCAACAGCACAGCTTGCAGTAGCTTAGACTTTTATCTTTGTACCTAAGATTTCTCAGATTGATCTTCACTTGTTTATGGGGACAATAATTCCTATAACTCCGCTTGCCATGCTGACTGGCTGGGGGATCTGGGGAGGTGTAGTCTGAAAAAGCAGCTTTCTGAGCTTTATCTTTGCCCAGCCCACAAACAGTTGTTTGGGAGTTTGTGTAGATTGTGGTGCCACAAGAGAGGAAGATGCATGCAGAGAATCCTTGTTGTTCTCCCACCTCCCTGCTGCAGTTCTGCTGAACCTGATTCCTCAGCTCAACTGGGCAGCATTGGCACTTGCATAGGTTGCATAGGACAGCCTTTGTGAATTAATGTGTACTGTATATGCTATATGGTCTGTTGCTATTAATAATAGCAGCCTTCTCCCAACTGGTTCCCTCTGGAAGTGCTGAACTGCGAGGGTCATGATATTGGGGAATAGTAGGAATGACAGGAAGAGCTGTCTCGGGGACTCTCACGTTAGTTTCCAGCAAACTAACTGCTGTAGCGCTAGAGATGCAAGGGGTTGTTCTGGCACCTTTTGCACCCCAGGTGTTGTGTGGAAAAATTGCAGCACCTTCTTGAAGGATTTCTCAGAAACTTTACTCGGCATCCTCTTTTCCCTTTTCCAAATTGGGATCTGACCTAGTTTTGTTCCACAAAATGTGTCAGCTTGTCTTGAGATGGGTGTTATAAAATAATTGGTTTCCTGATGGAAGCCAAATTTGCAACCCATTTGATTCTTCTGCTAATATTCAGCTTTTTATGCTGGATGTTGCATCAGCTCCTGTGATTTGAGCAGAGATTATATAAAGGGATGAACAAACAGATATATTTCCATTCGTTGTTGTTTTTATGTGTATTTATTCATTAGTTTATTAGATTTATTTTTATTTAAACAAAAACCTGTTTGACAGAGTGCCCATAAACAGAAATGAAGTCATTTTTCTGTCAAAGTAGATACTTTTATAAACATTTTAATACTATTTTTTTCAGCTAAGAATTATATAAAGGCATAAAAGCTGATGGACAACAAAGTTATTACCTGCACATTAATTTAGGAGATATAGACCAGATCAGCTTGTAACAGAAAAGATTGGATTCTTCAAGTATCCCTACTTGGATTTGGTTTCACTGTTTTACTCCTTTGCTGTGAAGAGGTTGGAACCAAGGTGGCCCAGTGTTGCATTGTTGACTTAATCTGATTTACAACTGGCAAGAAGCTTTGCGTGTTGACCATCTCTTATATTTGCCTTGTAGAAATTGGACAGGTAGATCTTTGCCTTTTCAGCTACTTGCAGCATTTAAATTAAAAGAGGATTTTTGATTTTTCTAGTTCCATAAATTGAACTATGATGTTCTCCCAGGTATTTTATATGTTGCTTCTAACTTTGTGATTGGTAATAGAGTTGTTAATACCATGTTTCCCCAGTGGTGGAGGGCGGGCTTTTACTTAACTGGAGCTTATTTTTGGGGTAGGGTTTATATTTCGAGCATCCCGAAAAATCATACTAG